AAACTGTAACGATTGTTACTGCAAGAAAATTTCGTGTTTTCGTCAGCTATGCAGAGGTATTTCTTTTAAGATACATACTATTGTGGGGAAAGGTCGACCTTACATACAGATCCTTTTTTTACTGGGACAATATGAGAAAATCGCCAACATTGTATATCCACGAAATGTTTACAAGGTAATTTTTTTAGGTAAATAATTTTGGCAAAGTTAATTTTTTTAATGAGTTTGACTTTGCAGAAAAAAAAAATAATATTAAGAACATTTTTATTTTATGAACTTGTCAAGTTTTTGTTAATTTTGACTAATTTGTGCAATCGGTAAAGTAAAATGGAACTAAGTTGATTCTTTTAATTTTTATGTTTCTTTTATTATTTTGTACGGAAAAGTCACACTTTACTAAATATTTAGCTATACCAAAATTGGCAAAATTAATGTATTTCACATACTTTCCTTGGTTACAGATATTCTGATATTCTCATACTGTACATTGAGTACGTCTTTAAGAAAAGGTCAGTTTTACGGTACTTTGAACAACGCACATGATATTAAAACTAAACCGCATGTAGGAAGTCATATGTCATATGTCAGCAACTTGATAACTTTGGTCTCTGCCTACCCCACTGGAAGACGGGCTTGGTTATATATATGTATATACTAGTAGTAACAGACATATATTTTTTCTGAGATATGTCAAATTAACGTAAAAAATTGCATTAAGTGTTCAAGCTTTGGAAATAAGTAGTATATATAGGCCATATACAAAAGTATGCACTGTTAAACGTAGACATTTAATATCATATTATTTCATTGTTTGAAACGAATAATTAAGACCAAACTGAGGAAAGGCGTATAATAGAGCTAATTACAAGTTTTCAAAAACGTAGTCAAAAAACAACAATGAAAATAGTAAGAAAAGTAACACCATGTAATGCAATTTTTGTTTCTGGGTTATCAATGTTATTTTCTAGCTGGTTCTAACATAAAAACTGAAAAAAATTTGCTTCTGTGGTCAGGACAACGAAAAGTAGAAAGCGTACCATTAAAGAAACGTACAAACTTTCCGGATCCCTCTTTATTTAAAGACCTATTATTATTATATTTATATTATTATATTTCAAACCAATACTTAGTATTATTTCAATCAAAACACATCAAATTGACAACAAATGACCTAGTAATGTGTAGTTTTGTTTTAGAAGGTTATTAGTATTAATTGATATTAGTATTAATTAATATATGTATATAGGACAATTTCGACGACTCGGTAACTGGACCCATGACTCAGATGGTTAGAGCAATGCTACGGTGCAGCATGGACGTGGGTGGGTCCGAGGCCCACCGAGTCGACGAAAAATGTTTTTGTGTGTTCGATCTTTGTATTAATCATAACAAAACTAATGGAATTATTTCACAAAAAGTCTCAATAAATACCACTATGTAGCTATTTAAATAGGCAGCTGTGTAAATACCACTGTGACAGCTACAAATGCACAGTTTTAGGGGTATAGCTACTCTTTTCTACATACTTATAAATGCCTATACTGTCAAATATAGTGTAATCGAATAAATTTTTTGGCCTAATTAATTTGTAGTGGTAAAAAGCTGCCAGTATTACACAAGTACTTGTTTACAGGGATGGAAAGCTGTTGTTAAAAAGTTATTGCTATACAGCCTTTTGACCTATTGAGCCTATTGACCTACTAAACAGCTGACAATTTAAGCACAAGTCGTACTGGGAAAAGAATACTGTTGCATCAACAATAAAACTTTAATGGCAGAGAGGCGTCAAAGGTATTTATTTCCCTTAACAAAGTGTTTATTGTTAAGCCTAACATTGTCATTGCAATGTTTCTATAACAATGAGTCCATAGATACCATACCAAAGTATAAAAAGTTATAAAAAAAATCTGAAACCAGACACCATAATGGTCCTGATCGACTTCTAGTAAGCAAATACAGTCAGAATTCGGTTAAAGTAAAGGTTTTTCGAAGGAAAATCTTTCCACCGCAATTCATAAATAATAAATAAGAAATGTAACTATTTTTTCGGATCTTTTGTTGATTTATTATTTTTTTCTTGATCTTTTCACGAAAAAATTGTTTAATTTCCGTATGTATGAACTATATTTCCTTTTGTTTTCACCAAAAATATATGAAAACAAAAATTGAGGCACCAAGAGCTTGCTTGAACCATATCAATAGAGTTTTGTTCCATTTCTCATAGGTGTAGTACTCCTTTTGAAAGAATTCGTCCAGAGAAGTACTGCCACCTAACCTATTCTGCCGCCAAGCAGTAATGTGAGTGTGTGTGTTGGTGAAATAACAGGCACATGGGACTTGTCAACTTATGTCTCAGGGTGACGGGCGCCGTGGCAGTGCTCCTCAGATCTTTGCGTTTTGAAGCTCTGCGTGGCACTGTAACTGTTATGGTCAACCGTGTCCCTGGGCCACGATTTCTTCGTCCCGTCACTTTGTTATAATTTTTCAGAGGGTTTGAACGTCACAAGTTTACAATAATCTTGACTATGTAACTTGCTACAGTTTTTTATACATAGGAAAAAATATTGTTTTTCGTATTAGGATATTTTCATAAGTTGCAATATATTTGTCTCTACACTTCGACAATAATCGACTATTTCTTGCATCTTATGCCTCACGCAAAACGGTGGGCGAAATTAATTCCAGAATATTCGCTAAATCACGTGACTTATGTATAATAATTATATATAAAATAACAAGTAACAATATTTTGTAACAATTTCTCGAAAATGTTTTGCATTCGCATGCGTGGGTTTGTTCGTGATTGAAACGAAAGTAAAAGGCAGAGATTCGAACACGTTCAGGCTTTACGACTATTTTCGCTAAATTCCAACACAATTTAAAACACAATTGTAAAATAAATAGAATTTATATCAATCAAAGTACTCATATTTATTTCATTGAATATCACGATGTTTTTTAAAATACTAAAAAAATTAAGCGTAAACTATAGAAATGATACATTTTCCAGCAACAACACAACGTAGTCTACAACGGTGGCATAAAATTTATCCAAAAAGTATCCGAAATAAATTTAATTATTCGCGATTAATTTATATAAAACAGCCAATATGTGAATTAATGTTATTTTAATTAACTGATGTGTTAAAAGGGCGAATGTTCATTCTATACTTTTTTTATTATACCAAGTGACGAGACGAACAAGTCGAACACCTGGTTGCAATTTCAAAGACCTTAGGAGCAGTATCTGATACATAAATTGACAAGCCCCATATACATGTAATTTCACCAGCAACTTCACCCTTCAAAACGGAACACGGTAACGCTCACATTACTGCTTGGCGGCAGATGTAGGTAAGGTTTCTTAGACGAATTCTTTCACAAAGAGTTCTATAAAAACTTGGTGCAGTTATGATGACAATCACGTATTTATGAAAATGTGCAATTACCCTTATTAAGCGCCTTCACCCCGGTCAACGTACAAGTATTCTATTAACTCCTTAATATTAATTTTCTTATGTACATCAAAATTTTATTTTTATCAATAAAATCTTTATAATAATACAATATATTTTTTCTACATAAAATCACTTTACTTGCAGCGATAGTGCTTGCTTTCACGCAAATATTACTTGATTATTTACTGATAATCACATAAATATATGGTGTCATACAAAGGTGTAGTATTTTTTATTGCTGATATTGTAAATTCAGAATATAGATATCTTACAAAGTTAACATCTTTCATCAAGAGCATCTCCACCTTTGATTGTTGAAGCACAGCTCTTCACCGCTCGGTATAGGCGGTTAATGGACCTTAGTATAGGAACAGATCTAGCGGAAAATTCGCAACTAAATTACGCGCACGCAATTACACATGATCGTGATAGGTCACATTGCAAGCGCTGGGTCATTGTATTGTTACGCATTTTGACATGTCACGATCGAATAAAATTGCTCATGTTAATTCAGCCTCGTTTTTCCCGCTTTATTTATTCATAGAGCATGTAAAAGCGTACTAATGCCGATTTCTGTTGGATCGATGCATTTAATTATTACACCTTTAAAAAACACTCTTTATTTACAATAACTGTCAACCAGATATTGTTAAATAATATAAAAGTAGTAACCAGAAATCCTTCAATAATATAAATCTTAACGCAGTTTACATTTATTTATATGTTATATAAACTATTTACAAGTTTAATATCTAGTTATTATCACGTTACGCGCCGATGGAGTATATAAAGTTTATATACAGAGCCAGTGAATTACACATTATGTAGTATTTTGTTAATGCAGGTGTATCAAAAAGATGTGAATGTGGTGGCAATTTTTGTTATTATTATTATTATTTTGTTTATTTATTCAAAACACATTTATGTACTCGAGTACATTATCGTGAAATATTAAACAATAGGTCAGGTTACGACACTCGAATATTAAATAATACTTCATAATAATATTCTACAATTTTTAAATAATAAAAATTGCCACCGAAATTAGGTAGAGATAACCAATCTGCAAATCACCAAGTCGTATTTCGAGGTAAAAAAGTGCCTATGACACTGAACAAATTAAGTTAGAATAAAAATGTCAATTGGGAAAATAAAATCCAATATATTTTTTATTTATGACAAGCTGGTTTGGAATTTCTTCTCTCAGAATTTGTTATCAAAGTTTCAACTCGAAAAGTTGTTCAGAATCATAATAATGCATTTTTTACCACTAAATACACTTTTATGACTGAAACTGTCTAATAATAGTATTGTCAGTTATATAAAAAATAACAATAATAAATCTGCAGCAAATAAAAAAGGCGATAATTTTATTTCTATAAAACAGTATATAATCTCGTTCAAAGAGCAATTTAATGGATTATACCGCAACTTTTTGCAAATAGTGGCCCAAACCAAAACAGTTATTTTTTTATATAAATATAAATACAGAGAGTATTGTTATTATTTAAAAAAATATTAGTTTCGTTCTTAATCCATTCTTGAATTATTGCCATTGGGCTAATTTGTGTTTGGAAAACATTTGTTTTCTATCTCTTTCTCGCTTGCTATGATTTGTTTTTACAAAAAATAGCAAATAAGCATAATATGTTAAGTGAATTTTTTAAATGAAATAAGTCAGGTAGGAGTTGTTACAGTGGGCCACACCTATGTATAGCTTTTTAAATTTGCCGTTAAAATAAGTAACCGTATGTGTTAAAATGTAACATGTGGCTGAGCGTACACAATTGTTAAAAGAACATTTGTGCTCCGTAGAAGACCCTCCCGATTACCTGATATTTACTCCATTTTCTCTCACATTCTACATAGACAAGGTTGTAAACTGAACCATGTAAGAAATAAACTTACAACCATTGTTACACCAAGTGTAGTATCTACCATGCTGCCTCTGTTTTCTATAACTGAAGCTTTACCATCGTTGGCGTACCATTTGTTAGCACGGTCGGGTACTCTGTTGCTTTTCTCAACTTCGTTGTCGTGAGGAGAATTCTCTTCATCGTATGATTCCGTTCCATAGTCATCGTCAGTTATCCTTTCTTCTGGATAGTGGTAGACGTGTCTGTCGTTGCCAGGGATTTCTGTGTCAAAAGAAATATTTCTTAGGAATTGTATAAGAAAATAATATTCAATGTAATAGTGTATGTAAAATATAAATAGCCCCCCTTTATTGGCTCCCTTTTTATGTCTCCAACAACACGCTACGTTCTATGCCACTGTCGACAACGCTTGTTCGCTCTACATCTAATCTACTAGCTCAACTAAGCCGAACTCCATTCTACGAGCTACGAGGCTCTAGCCTTGATAGAATTTCTAAAATGGATTAATGACGTGTTCAGTAACTCTGAATCGAAATTTCTGACATCAGCTGGTTACTACTTGGGGACGGTCATCGCCCGAACTTCTGTGTTCGATATTCTTGGGCTTGCTTTTGGGCGGTGATTGACTAAACCGTTGTTGAATATGGCTTACATGTTCAGCTATTGTTATTGTGTGTGTAAGTGTAAGTTGCATAATATAATATTATTCAAATATCAAAACACATATTTAATTTGTTTTTAAACAATGCTCAAGAAGAGCAATAAAGGAGTTGTTTTTTGAGCGTTTCCACTAAAAGTTGTGGTAGTTAAAACTCCGTAATATACTTCAAATACATGATCCTTTAATTTTGGGTGCATTGTGTTAGGGCTGAATACGGATTTTTCAAGATTACTATAGTACCAGCTACGCTACGTAGCTATGCTACATTTAGACAAGTAAACGATGCACTAAAAACAAAATGTCTCAGTACAGAGTACTAAAAAAACCGATCTCAAAAATACGTGGAATTACATATAAGTACCAAGATTTATTGAAATCGGTTATCGGAAAGTGCGCCAGATTCATCCCCTAGTTCGCCACTATACGGGACTTGACACAGAGGATAATAAAAATCGATTCCCACTACTCAAAGTATATTGAGAGAAAAAAGCCTTGAATTAAAGAATAGCAAAATCAACCATTAAAATAATTGCTCCTTATACTAAAATGTAGGCGCTATTTATAAAAATGAATCTTCATGCGTGAACAGCCACCTTTAGAGGTGGATGATTTTCTTCAAAATAAATGGGACCACTATGGAGGTACGCTCTTTTCAACAAAAAAAGTATCATGAAAATTGGTTCACAAACACCGGAGTTATCGCGTAACATACATCCAAACGAAACATACAGTCGAATTGAGAACCTCCTCCTTTTTTGTAGTCGATTAAAAACATAATGAAAACAAAATATATCTTTTTAAGGACCTGTGCCATTTAGTCCAAAGACACACAGCTGCTTTAACAGGATATGTACAATTCAATTCATAATAACCAGAAAACATAAATATAAATAAATGTATTGTAATTTAAAACAGGTTTATTTCGACTTGTAATTAGCAATGCTGATTGCAATTAAAGTTGTCGTGTAATGAACACAGTGGAATTTTGACGAATCAATTGATTGCTGTAATTGGATTAAGCAATTTGAAAATGTTGCTTTATGCTATAATCATCGATGATAAAGCGTTCTTTTATCATTAGTGTGTTCTGTTAGATTAAAAATCTTTAAACCGAATATTAAAGATTTATTACACAGGAAATAATGACGTCGCCACAGTTTTTATAATTTTGCTTATATTTTATGGAAACCCCATATATTTTTTTCAGTAACCAAACAAAATGTTAAGGTTTGGACGAGTGATGCAACTAAACCGGTTGTTGTCAGGCAGGTAAGTATATTCCAGAATAAGACGATGGATTACATGGTGTGCATAGAGATTTTATAGTAATAATCTCAGTACAGAGTACAAAAAAACCGACCTCAAAAGTACGTGGAATTATGTCTATTTGCTAAGTTTTATTGAAATATCCTTAAATTCGCCACCATACAGAACTTATATATAAAATCGGTTCTCACTACTCAAAGAATATTGAGAGAAAAATGCCTTGAATTAAGGAAATAGCAAAATCAACCATTAAACTAATTGCTCCTTAAGAAAATGTAGGCGCTATTTATAAAAATGAATCTTCATGCGTGAACAGCCGCCCTTAGAGGTGAATGATTTCCTTCATAATGAAATGGGACCACTATGGAAGTACCCCCTTTCCAACAAAAAAAGAATCATGAAAATCGGTTCACAAATACCGGAATTATCGCGTAACATACATACAAAAAAAACATACAGTCGAATTGAGAATCTCCTCCTTTTTTGAAGTCGGTGAAAAATAAGACAGTAGGCCCTATATGCAACAAAATAGCGCCATCTAACATACATTGTAACATAAGGCAAGATCTCTTAATTGCTAGACTAATGTGAATACGATATGGCACGCCGAACTGTTAGTGTTACAGAAATGATTCACCAGATGTCGTTACTGACACAAAAGTAATATAATTTTGTAACTCAACCGTATGACGAATAAATAAGCAACTGGAAATTTTATACCGGGCAGGAGAATAAGAATTTTAATTCACATTAAAGAATATACAGTCAGCAAAATAGTAACTGCCTCATTTCTATTTCTAATATTTTACGACATGGAAAAGCATAAAAAATCTCACCGTATAATCTGATTTTACTCTCAACATCTCCAAGTGAATTTTTGGCAACACAAATGTAGCTTCCTAGATCTTCCCGTCGTATATTCTTTATAGTCATACTCATCTCGGCTTCAAACATGGATTTCTGCCTGACGATCATCTCGTGATGCTCCGACGGTATTATCAGCTCACCTGGGGAACAATTTATTACTTAAAACACTTGCTTTCAAATTCAATATTAGAATTTCATCTTTCCTCAGCGAAGTTTTATGAAAAATGTAAAAACTTTGTGCAGACACCTACGAGTTTTATGGCTGCCTTATAATTTGTTTCGCTTTATCGTGGAAGCTGCGCCGGGCTAATCAAATTGGTATTAGCATTGACATTATGGTCGAAGTCGTCGAGAGTTTGATAGATTTTTGCAAGAAAATAATATTTTCTTTAGTTTGATTAGTCTGCTTGTATATGGAAGCAAAGAGTTTTATGGAATATTCTTTATTACACATATACCTTTTTATAGAACTAACTCTTTTTTATTACAAATATATAAATTGTAAATTGTATTAGTTTATAAATCCAGAGCAAGATTGATTCTTTTTCACCAGTTTTACGCGCGCAATTCGATATCACTCTGTTCTTCCAATATTGCACTACATAATTTAAACCACATTCGAGATCGTTACGCTTTATTCTAAGCCGCGAAAAGATTTTTACTTTATTTGCCCTATCTCTCCAGAAAGGTTAGGAGTTTTAAATAGAAAACCACCATGATACTCAGACATATTCACTAAGCTAACGGATAACTCACGTATCTATGAATTTTTGCTTCACACGTTTGGATCCAGTCCGAGGTCCTTAATTATGTAAATTTTTCGGTGAACGCTGAACAAAGTTTTTCATGTATGACATATTACTTGTTTACAATAGAAGTATAATAGATACCAGGATCTTTGACCCAGTAGTTGATGGACTTCGGCGAGGACTCGACGTAGCACTCGAGCGTGACGTCAGTGCCGAGAGGAGCGCCCACCAGCTGGTTCGGCACTTGAATCACCGGGTGGACTGTACATACACAACACCATTAGTATTCAATTTAACTATATTTTGTATGATATTCAAGCATTTGAACATATATAACTATAAATATATGTAAAAATATAATATTATTATTTCATAGTTTTTGTTATAAAGACATACGTTCACTTATCGATAATTAGTTATATAAATAAAATACGTTTCTTCAAAATTAAAATACAAAAATACATATTATAGTAACGAAAACAAGACATGTAATTAAGAGCACTTTCCATCTATCTATTTATCTACGGTTGATTTGAGACCGTATTATAACTAGCAAAATCGCTTTGATATAAATTAAGTCATTCGAGAATTCAAATTGCTTTTCATTTGAATCACGTCATACTTGCTATTTGTAATTTATTAAATGATGGAACGGTGCTAGTCCAGTGGGTCTTAATTCAGAGGTCGACCGGTCGAATCGGTGTGGTGGCAATTTATTTCGACGGATGAACTCTTTCACAGGGAGTTTTACTGCCACGAACTCAAATAGTTATCAACTTTTGGAGTCTCTAATGATGGCGATTGAGGCATTTTACTATTTACGTCATTGGTGTACAAGTTCTAAGACATATTACACATATTACTCGTTTACAATATGAGTATAATAGATGGCAGGATCTCTATTACTTTACATATTAAATCAATATATACATAAATACTACTTATAGTTACTATGTATACTACTTATACTTTGGATACTTTTTACATCCGGTGTCAGGGCGGTCACGGGCCGATACACGTGGCGGCGCGTATTCGGGTATGTGCGAGAGAAGGGTTGTTGCTGATGCATATGAGCAGACGCTGATTTTATGTATTAAAAAAAACGCGAAAATTGTACATTCTTGGTTAATCTACTGCTTAATCTAACTATATGATAAAGTTTTCTATTTTCTTTGGTATTGTAATAAAATATTGTTTCAATGATTTTGTGACATTTATTAACAAAAGAATCAATGTGCATGAAAGCAAACAATCTGTAATCGTTGGGGAATTTTATGAAAGTTATCATTTAAAAACTACAGCCGAGTTTACAGTCTGTTTCTGGAATGTTTGTAAATTATTCCAATACTATTGTTACTCAACCACTGAACTGATCCGCGGATGTGGTGGCTGATATTCGCAACAACCCTTGGTCGAGAGCTTAGGCGCTTTCGCCTTTGAAGTTACCGAGCCGTGGCGGATCCGAACAGCCCGCCACGCGTGAGCACGGGCGCGCTCGGGCAGCCCTCTTTTTGGCGCGAGCTGGCGCGGCGCAAGCCATAGAACCACGGGCTTTGGTAAGGCGCCTTAGTCTTACCTTTGTACTTGCGAGCTAACACATAACAATAATGTGCCAAACTACACCAATTACCTGGTCTCAAACTGGGGAATTTCCTGTACCATGAGTACCAGAGCAACGGAATTCTGTCATTACCCAGAACATCCACACCAGAATCAATTTAGAAAATCTCATTTCCCAAATAGGTCCTGCCGGGAATCGAACCCAGTACCTCCTTGTCCAGAGTCCACGGTGCAAGTCGTTGGGCCACCGAGGTCAACACAATATATCGCACATTGGCAGTTTTTTTTATAAAAATATTAGTGTAAATTCGAAAACGCAAGACTAGTTTTGTTTAATGACTTCAATGTACGATGTATACCGGTTGTCACACGTATATTTCAGTAGTTTGAGTGTTAAACAATCTTAGCTACCTGGTCCGTGCACAGCAAAAGGCGGTAAATTGCAGTACTCACAGTGTACGCTAATATGGATCCGTTTGCTGACGGTGGGGGGAACCCCGTTGCCGGCAATGCAGAGGTACGTGCCCATCTCCGAGCGAGATATCTTAGTCAACTTGAGCACTTCGCCTTGATATGTAAGCACTGGGAACAAGATATACGTTTAAAGATTGTATACATATAATTAAAGCAATTTGTTCTTAGGTTTTTGCAATTGTTATACATAGGAAATGAAACAAATTTTTCGAATAAACAAAACAAACAAACCAACACAGTCACCCATGACCATGAGACCTGGAGAAGCCCCGGAACGTTGGTTTGTTTGAAAAAAACAAATACATATACGCGATTTAAATCCGGAAAAATAGTTTAATTTCCTATAAAGTACATGTGTTATGGAAATCGGAAACAACGACGTACCCCCAAATCCGAGATAATACAGAAAAGTTAGTACATTGACTCGTATAAAGTCCCTAGAACACTTTGTAAAGTATACATAACTGTGTAGATATACATGTTATATTAATAAATAAATATTTAATACCACCAATATTTCAGGTCATTCACAATAAATCCCATCAAAGAGACTTCATAAATAGTTTCCTGAATTCGTAGTCTATTTGCTATTATTATCTATTTTCTTAGGACGAACCCAAAATAGACGGACAAACAGGATTAATTGCTACCTTTTGGACAGTTTCGTACTGTAGAGAAACAAACCTTAACAAACATTAACAAAATTCCTAATAACAATCACTTAAAACTTATAACGTCAAAGAGTAAATTATATTATAATGTACATATAATCAGATTAAAACTTATATATTATAATTACACATTTTATGATACCTCATACCATACCATACCATACCATATCACAATTTTTAAGTGAGGGGACGAAAAAGTTGTACGCCTGGTGGTAAGCGACACGCCTATCATATAATATAGGTGTATTTTGTTTTTATATTGTTATGTATTTTAGTCTATAAGGTATGTATACATGCGTCTTTTTGTTACCTGATATAAATAAATAAATAAAACAAAATAAATAAATGAGACATAAGTTGACAAGTCCCATGTGCCTGTAATTCTACGTGCATTATTCAACACGAATTACATTGCGTGGCAGCCGCGCAGCGACTGCGTGCATCTAACGGTCATGGCAAAGTACGCTCTATTTATTTAGCTTTTGCGTTTTAACTTAAATGAGTGTACCGGGCGCACGGGCGAAGCTGGCTTGTCTTTGGTCTACCCAGAGAACGCGCGGAGGTCGCGCGGCGACCGCGCGGTTGTATTATTCAGAGGAATTTAAAGAATTTAGAATTCAGATTTGCCATTAATGTACGTGAAAGCGTGGTAACTGAGCGGTCGCCGCGCGAAAACTTCGTCGTGTAATTGGGCGCTACCAGCACTCTTACCCTTCAAAACCGTAACGCAGTAATCACATTACTGCTTGGTGGCAGAAATAGATAAAGTGGCATTACTTCCTTAAATGAACTCTTTTACAAGGAGGTCTACTGCTAGTAAACTATAATGTATAATAAATTTTAAGCTCACGTCGACGGCGGTGAGATTTTTTTTTAACAATTCAAATGACCGACGAGTTCGTACAATAAGACCTGGCGAAGTCTATTCAAGAGAACTCTACTAATTAGAACAAAGTTTAAACAATACTGGACGCGAAACTCATCCCGAGAATAGCCGACGTTGGTTCATTGTGCGCCCGCAACGCGGTCACATAGGCGTTCGTATTATTATACATATTATTCCGAAAAACAATGCCATGCTTTCGCCATTCAAATAAACCAAGACAAATGAAATATTTTTGCTAAAGATTTACGAACTTTTGACCTAGTTATTTGCCAAAAAAAAAACTATATGTTAGGACCGTTAGTGTACGATGCAATACCAGCAGCAATAGCTGCAGTAGCTTGTGAAAGAGTCCCTCCAGGGAAGTAATGCCACCTTGCTTATTTCTGACGTTAAGCAGTAATGTGAGGTTTACTGCGTTCCGGTTATGAAGGATAAGCGTGGTGGTGAAATTACAGGCACATGGGGTTTGTTAACTTTACGTCTCATGATGACCGATGCTGTGACAGTGTCCATCGATTATTTGCGATTCAAAGCTCTGAGCAGCACTGTCGTTTACCACCAGACACACGACTTGTTCATTCCATCACTTGGTTTGGGTAACCTATCACAAAGTCGAATTTTTTTTGTTCGAAATAATGTTTGTTCGAATTTTCATTACACCGAAAATCGAATTATGATAAAACAGTTGTTCTTTCAGGATATGTTGAATGTTTATCGCAAAGACACGATTAGGTTCGGTTAGCTTAGGTTAAGTCAAAAAAAAAAGGTTTGAAAGAAAAACCTCATCATCGGCGACGAAGTCGCTGCTGAAGAGGCCCCAGAGGGTGGTCGCCCAGCGAATGTGCAGGGCGTACATGACAGTGACGGTGTAGGGCAGGACCTCTCGTTGCCGGGCGTGGTTGCCGCCAAGCTCGATAGCGAGGAGTCCTGGGAGGCGGTGGCCTCCTTTTCCGCAGAGGTTATGTTGCAAAAGGAGGCCGCGGAGCGGGTGCGCGAGGACGCGGCGTACGCGCACACTCTTCGGCGCAGACGTACGGAGAGAAGGCGCACTCAGTTCGCTGCTCGCCTGATCCCCTATTGAGACCAGCGGGCTCTGGACAGGGACTTCGGAGCCTGCATTGCACGGCCTAACTCGTCTGGGGGGCGGGTCGGAGGACAACCGACTCGCTCCTCCGTAGGCGCGGGAGCCCTGGCGCAAGCTAGGGCGGCCGAGCGGCATCGTGGTGAATGTTCACCGATCCCACGGTGCTGACTCAACCGGTGAGAGTTAAATCCGGGGGGGTTTAGTGGGGTAGGTCCTCCAGTCTGAAGGGAAAGTCCCCACATAACCCCTGAGTCTCCCTGGGCTCAAGGGGTATCTATAAAGATTTCCCCCCCGTAAAAAAAGGTTTGAAATAAAAACATTTTCCTCTCAAAATTACTTTCGAGGTTATGAAATTTCGACCAAATGTTATTTCTGGAAAATGTCATTTCGTACTACTGATAGGTAACCCTTGGTTTGTGTTTATGCGACATTATGCTATAAGTTATTTTTAGTTCACAATCAGTCATCATATCATCGTCCACTCATTTCACACCTATCAAATGTATCATTAATAATTGTAAATCAGATATAATACAAACATTTTTAGTAGTTATCATACTATCATTTTATAAGAGAATGGAAACATCGTCCAATTGGCATAATGACTTAATTCTCTTGTTATTTAAGGTATATTGATATTGTTAGTAATACATTTTTAAGCAGATTGTGTATAATACGACTTCAATTTGGCCGTAACAACTCAATAACCAAATCTGTTAAGGACAAAAAGACACTGGAAATCGTACGTAGTCTTCAAATATACTTTACATTTCGAGGTCTTAGGTACTCTATTTAACAACTTTATCGCATAAAAATAGCGCATTTTTGTTTTTTTTTTCAAACAATCCGACGCTCGGATCCTCTACAGATCCCATGGTCACGGCTGACTGTCAGCTGAGTCAGTCGTGATCACGGGACTTGCATAAGCCTCGAAACGTTAGTTTATTTGAAGAAAGCAATAATTCGCGATTTAAATTTTTTAAATTTGTTACATTTTTTCGGATCCCAAAGAACTCGATTTTAACCTGTTTTCTGTATTTTTTGCATCGGAGGTGTGACGTATATACCTATGTATATACGTATACATATCTGAGATAAATTAAATATACAGATTACCTACACGGAAACAAGAAATACCTGAATTTGTTCTACTCAGAAATTTGTTAGCTAATAATAATTTAAAATAAAATAAAATAGTAATTTTATCGTTGAAGCAGTCTTGCGAATTTAGAAGACTAAAAAGTATTCAGCCAGAAAAATCAAGTCAGCACGGCTGACAGTTGAACTACATTTAAAAATAGACCGACATGTCTTCACTTGTGCAAATACGGCAGCTAAAAACTTAATACCTGAATAGCCTTTTAGGCAACAATGGCAGCTGTTGTGCTGGGTGCAAGCAAAACGACTCTAAACTTGAAAATACAAAGTATTCGTTCTCTATACGTGGTGGGGCAGCACCAAATTCTTCAACATGATCAGGGTTTTAAAATATGTGTTATTCAAACTCAAACTAAATATTTCATAGGTAAGCAAATTAAATTTGAAATCGTCTCATTAAATAAACTCTACTACTCATTCGTATAACAGACTTCTCAGAGAAGAATTAGTTAGACATTTTAGGGATAGCTCTTTGATTAATGGACATTTATTGTATATTCATTATTTATAATATTTATTTCAAATAATCGCGACAACATTCAAGATCTAAATGGGTCACTACCATTAATTTTTGTCATCTAAATACGCAGAAGCTGTATACCTAAAGTTTTTGTTTCACTGTAGTTTTAAGCTTCGTATAAATGGCGAAGTTTGAATATTAACCGAAATCTTATTATATACGCTTATACTTCAATTATATATAGTTTTGTGACTTCGTGTCCGTCGTTCAAGAATCTATATACTACCTCACTTCAAATTCAAATTTTTCCCGTACTAATACGGTTCATTTTGCTTGTGTCGAGCGGCAGGGACATCGGCATTATTTCAGAATTAATTTTTTTACAAACGAAACGAAATCCATTTGAAAAATGTATGTTATGTATATATAGTATACGTGTCTATTTAGTTTAGTTGATATAAAAAAAACCATTGGTATACCCATGTAAAGTATTATTGAATACAGCGGTTGTCTGGTAAAATTTCGACGTAAGTTTGTTTTTTTTTTCGATCGTGAAAATGTTTGCGAATCGTGTTTCCACACCATATATATCACTGATTACTAGAATCAGTGATATATCCTCAATTTTACTATAATATTTTTTCAAAGTGATTGATTAAAATTAAAATTAAAATTAAAGTGTTAACTTTCATTGTTATGGGGAATCGACCAAAGCTATTTGAGGTAGTATAAAAGCCTTTTTAAAGAGTAAAAATTATTCTGTCGACCAAATGTATCCTTCTCCTATTTTTTTACACCCTGTCTACACTCGAATAGAATAACTTTGCGTGGCCGATTGTTGATTTTATCGGTCGCTATTTGGTTGTTTGTGGAGCTCGGATTGCCATTGTACACCGGCAATTTGTGAAACAACACTCTCTAATGGTCTAATACTTAAGCCAGTAATAAAAGGGATAATAATGACTACACTAATCGAGATTTTACACCGCAATTACTCGCAGGAGGTCTTAGATTCATTAATATTCTTCGGGTTACGTGCTGTTTATTACTGAAAATCATTGTTGATAAGGTATCTTACAACCAGAAAGTTTTGTCTTCTTTAAAATAAATTTTTCAATATCATGTACCAGGTCTTCTCCTACCTAATGATTTTAAGAAAACTGTCATGTCGTCTCAGATGCCCAAACATCTTTCCTGTATGAATAAAGAAGACGATAAGAATTATAAATTTTACAATTTGACGAACCTGCTCATGTACAAGTACGTCAAAAATTGTCAGCCACTGAACAGCAATATCGTTTCACCTTTACGATTTATAAATTTAATTTTGCCTACAGGGTGTTAATGCTGACTAAGTATGACCACCAATACAAACAATTCTTATTAGTTATATCAGTAGAACATTCTACTGTGACTACCAATAAACGGCCGCCGTGGGGCTTATTTAAAAAATAGGTCTAATCGTCTTTTGCAGGTCTGTAAAAAATATACACTAATTCTTTTAATAATAATAATAATAATAGATGATAGATGACACTTCACGACCCGGTCGACACGTCAATGTCATAGAGATTTTTTATTCCGCTTGTGTTCTGTGATTTGTTTGATGGTTTAATACGCATTTCTTGAATATTAGGTACTATTTCTGTTTTGGATATTTCATCACTGACTTTGGCTGTTATTTAAGGACATTCTCTCGATCGAACTTATTTGCTAAGTGACTACAGTTTATCAGTAATTTCTATTAAAGTTAAAAATATTTCAATTAATGGCTTTTCTTCTATACAATTTTATTTTTGACACGAGTTGTACCTCGGTACACATTTTGTGCCAAAACTAAACACTACCTTTAAAATGTTTTGTAAAAAGAAAGAAAGTTCTTTATGATGTTATTAATATATTACTGCGAGGTTGTCAGTACGGTACAAATAACCATGTAAAAGTTTTAAATGAAGTAGGAACAAAGCGAATCATATTGATCAGATGGTCAACAACAGTATTAGTTCTTTTGTACTGTTAACAAAGGAAAACTTGACGAGCGGTTTACAGATCACAGTGAACGAAATGTCAACTTGGTCAGACATAGGGAAAACTAGCATTCATTGGGGAATCCAAACTACAGACTTTTACCGCAACTTTGAAAGAAACAAATGCGGTGTTTTCTTAAACTTACAAAGGTACTTAACCTGCTGACAATCACTATGGTATAAGGAAATAGTGGACACATTAAAATATTTTCATTGACAACATGAATGTGGTAGCCTAGAGAATATATACTTACGGACATATTTACAGGAATACTCGAAAATATTGAATTGTGATATTTTTTATTACAATACTAAGTGAGAGACGAACTAATCGTGCGCTTTGTGGTAAGCGACACGACTGTTCATAACAGTTACAGTGCCACTCAGAGTTTTAAATCACAAAGATCTGAGGGGCAATGGCACTGCGCTCGTCACCCTGAGACATAAGTTAAAAAGTCTCATGTGCCCCTAATTTCACCAGCATCGTTACTCTTCAAAATGCAGTAATGCTCATATTACTACTTGACGGCCGAAATAGGTAAGGTGGCAGCACTTCCCTGGACGAACAACAACAAGGAACTCTACTGCTACTAAATAACAACGTTTATATGAACCACTGGTCACATACACCACTGCCTCTACCATGAGATTACATTGACAGTTATCACTAGCGATCGCGTAAAATGTTTGTATAATACTAGATGTTGTTACTTCTTGGGACCGCAAGGGGAGCTGTATAATCTGTCATACAAAATTGTGAAGTAATTTTCGCGGTTGCTAGCGACTGTTACAGTAAATTCGTGGTAGGGGCCCTCATCGAAATAAAAAGACGAGTGAAGTCATTCTTTTTTCAAAATAAACGTTTTGGTATATGTGGCCAGAGACTTATAATGAACATTGTTATCATAATTCAAACTTTTGAAGAGTTCCTTTTAATATGACCAAGAGTGTATTTAGGTAAAAATTTTGTTATTATATTATGATATTTTGATTGTTATTGGTAAATGTATATTATTATACATTTAAATGGTTTGAGAACATCTTTTGACAAGGTTAACGTCTAATTTTTGCTGTTATTTATTGTTAGGGGAATAATACCTTTTGTTTTCGCTCCCGCGTGGTCCCTCACCACAATGTCCTGTCCATCTTCTCTCTTCCACGTTACACGTGGAGGAGGGATGCCTCTTGCCTTGCAAGAGACTCTTGCTGTACCTCCTTCAGGCACCATGGTGTCTCCTGACGTCTCCTCAGGTACGAAATCTGGTGGTATCACCACCTCTAGGAAGCCCATCTAGAACAATATTATTTATGTAATTAGAAGACCTCTATAAGCGATATAACTATATTATGAATTTATATGAACTAGGCCATGAAAGTCGTAGATCAAAAATGTTATGTCATTGGCAGGTCAATGAAATAAGGTTCTATTTTGATATGGAATAAGAATGATTATTATCAATGTTATGGACAATTTATTGATAATTAATTGTATTACTTTTAATACAAAGATACTAATAAAGATTCCTGCTGAAGACACTGGTTCGAATCCAGCCAGATCCAAGGATTTTTTTTTACTATTCGATTTTTGTGTAATTATAACAAGCTAGTGAAGTAATTTCACAAAAATAATGAATAGGTGCCATTACCATGGCATTTTACTAGCGTAAAAACATCGTTATCGATCGTCGAACATCGATATTCAATAAACTGAACATTACAATTAATATTATCGACAAGGAATAGTGAGAAAACGTTCCTTGCTAGCAAATTCGTCTGATACTGATTACATAAACTGATTTCCGAAAACAATATAACCTTTTTACTTTAGCTTATGCTTGGCCATATCTAGACTAAATAAAGTTTACGTTCCTTCTTTTTTTATGACTAGCAGATAAATGACTTTACTCCACCTGATGTAAAATGGAAAGTGGAATCCAAAAGTGTTGGAACCTAGTGCAGTGTTGATAGAATCGTTGCCCTAGTCTATAACAGTTTCACCAAAGAATATCAAAATTAAATAAAATAACAAAATTATTAAAAAATTATGTTCAATATCCAAATATGCCACTATGAAAACCATTATAGCGAGTGTCTACACTCGCTATAATGGTTTATATGGTGTTTCGTGCTCTAGCACGAAACAAAGTCCGATGGGTGCCTGTAACTTATTGAAATTACAGGCACATGGGACTTTCCAGCTAATTTTTCAGGGTGACAGGCGTAGTGGCTTTTCCACTCAGATCTTTGCGATTTAGAGCCCTGAACGGCACTGCAACTGTTATGGACATACGTATTGCTTACCACCAGGCGCACGATTTGATCGCCCCGTCACTTGGTATAATAAAAATAAAAAAACAAATCATTGCATCCTCCTAGACATTGCGCCTGGATTGAGTTTTTTTTTATTCTATGTAGTAAATCAGGCTCTGTGTGAGTGGTATTGAAATGAGGATGAATAATAAACACAGCGCGAAACGGAGGCGATTTGCATGGCTAGCTTTGCAGATATAACATTGTTATTTGTTCGCTGGAGATCATTTCATCTGTTTTCCGATATTTCTGTATCGATATTGCTACATATCGATGCATGACAGTGTAAACGATTGCTCTGGTACTCATGTTCCACTCCAATCTTGTGACATACTTATCATATTTAATAAGGTACGAATTTCAGAGTAAATTGGATCTTATTTATGTCTTTACTTGACTAAATGCTCAAGTAGAGAACTACATGCTTGGAAAACAAAGACAATGATTTTGTGAATACGCCTATAAAGGCGTAAATAAATATAATTAAGATTCTTTTTTTAACCGACTTCAAAAAAAGGAGGAGGTTCTCAATTTTTTTTTGTATCTATGTTACGCGATAACGCCGGTATTTGCGAACCGATTTTCATGATTCTTTTTTGTTGGAAGACGGTACCTCCATAATGGTCCCATTTAATTTTGAAAAAAATCATTCAACCTCTAAGGGTGGCTGTTCACGCATGAAGATTCATTTTTATAAATAGCGCCTAAATTTTATTACAAGGAACAATTATTTTAGTGGTTGATTTTGCTATTCTCCAATTCAAGGCGTTTTTCTCTCAATATACTTTGAGTAGTGATTTTTATTATCTCCTGTGTTAAGTCCCGTATAGTGGCGAACTAGGGAATGAATTCGGGTTTGCGCATTTTCCGTTAACCGATTTCAATAAAACTTGGTAATTATATGTGATTCCACGTATTTTTGAGGTCGTTTTTTTTTAGTACTCTGTGCTGAGATTATTTACTGTATATTTTAATGTCATCATAGCTTCCCTTACATTTGTTTTCTTTGTATTAGATTAAGTTATAATGAAAAAATAAATTTTTCTTATCGTATCTTATGAACGAATACACGAATTAACCTGACTATTTTTTTAATGATAAAATTAGGTAAATATAATTTTAACCGTATTTTTTTTGGATAGCAAGTGACAGAACGAACAACTCAAGCGCCAGATATCAAGCGACTCGCCTATTCATAACCACTCAGAGCTTCAAAACACATAGATCTGAAGGGCACCGCTACCGCACCGTCATCCTGAGACATAAGTTAAAAAGTCTCATGTGCCTGTAATTTCACCAGCACCCTTACCGGAACCGGAACGCAGTAGTTCTCACATTACTGCTTGGTGGCAGAAATAGGCAAGGTTGTGGTACTTCCCTGGACTAAGTCTTTCATAAGGAGTTCTACAGCTACAGAATAGATAGGATAAATAAATATCTATTAAGTAAGCTACAGTCATTGTCGATCTCGTCTGAACTTAACAAGTACACGCATATTTTACAAAATAAAACGTACTAAAATTAACTACTGCCACCTTACTTATATCTGCCGACAAGCAGTAATGTGAGCATTATGTAGTTTCAAGTTTGAAGGGCAGGGTGCTGGTGAAATTGCAGGCACATGGGACTTAAGGCTCAGGGTGACGGGCGCAGTGGCGGTGCCCCTCAAATCATTGCGATTTAAACCTCTGAGTGTCACTGTAACTGCTATGGATAGGCGTGTCACTTACCACCAGGTTGTAACGGAACGTTACAACGTTGTCAAATCATTTTTTTATAAATAGTTTTTTTAATTTAAAAGTATTAAAAATTGAACACAAATATTATCTTTAACAAATATATCATATTTTTAAATAATAATTGATTACAAAACATTAAAACCACCATAGACAATGTTGGTTAATTAACCTATGGCAACCAACGTTGCAGTTTTGAATGATGAGAGACTCAGAGAGGGGGGCGCGGTAAACCGATACCGGCGCCGGCGCTCGCCTGGCAGACAGCGCTTCAACGTTCTCAGAGCCAGTCCACACTCGCTTGGCCGAGATCCCGATATAAACATTCCGTTACGTGATTTGAATTTCTCCAAATTGTATTATAAACCGAAGATTAATTCTTCCAAACGCGAAAAAGCGAAAGCGAAAGTTCCCGCTTTAGGGTAAGTTGAATGACACACAAAACACTTGTAATGCTTTTATTTGCTAATTTTCATGTTTTGTATTGTACCAAATTGTACTATGTCGTTATTGCAGCTCTTCCTACGATTATATACATATGTACAATGTAAATTTCAAACCATAGGACCATACGGTTTGAGAAATTTTGAAGATTCATCATCAACGAACAAATTTAATTGTATTTTTTCACCAGAGTTTGTTTTCCTTGGCTTGTTTAGTATTTATTCTTTTCTAACAATAAGCAAACGTCTCGGCCTTCAGCCTTACTACCTAAATTCTTTATTTTATCTATTTTTCCACAATTTAAACTGCAACTCCATTCTGGTCGCGCCACCGACAATTGCTACTACGTAGGTGCTCTTCTCTAATTCTCTTTTGCCGTCTGTGGGCTTTCATAACGGAGGCAAAAGGACTATTACCACCTGATTGAGTCATTTTCGGATTGAATCACCTACCTACCAATTGCTGCTCATCCAGTGGCCCTACTTCTGCGCTGGCAAATATCCAGGGGAGTACCATACTCGGAAGCGGAAAACCTAAAGTCTTAAGACACGATACCACGACCTATGATAAATATATATACCGTTTTTTTAATTGAAATTTTAATTCGTGATTTTTTTTTTATAATTATTTTAAATTACCGTAATTCTTTGTTTGATTTTCTACCCTCACAGGGAAAATAAAACTAGGGAATCGACCCCGGTACAAGGTGCATGACTTGTTCATACGGTCACTTCGTATCATAAAAAAAGCAATAATAATTTTTGTTTCGAACTTAGTCTCCAAAAGCCTATAATGCTGTCAACTTTTACATAAAAGTGCTACTGAAACGTTTAATATATTACCCAGCTAAATTATAGACAATGCACCAGTGTATAAGCTTGTATTTTATCTCGTGAATTTTTTATTTCATCGTTATAATAGCGGGACTCAGCTGTGGTTGCTAGACGAAGGAAGGCGTTCATAATATGCAGCAGTGCATTCCCTTCTCACTCGATTGTACTTTAATTTGTGGGGCAGATTAAACACATATAGCAGTAGCATTGGACGGCAAGCAAAGTCGATTGAACTTGAAGAACAAAATACGTTATATATAAGAGTGGTTACACACAACGACTTTTAGCAGTGATGCAAACGCGTGATTGTATCGCGACACTTACGATTTATAGGCGATTACATCTATGCAAACGCGCGACTGCATTGATACAAACACGCGACTGCATCGATACAAACGCGCGACTGCATCGATATAAACGCCTATAAATCCCAAGTGTAGCGATGCAATCGCGCGTTTGCATCGATGCTGTCGCGCGCTTGCATCACGTTTGCATCGCTGTTGAAAATCGCGCGCGTGTACAAAGGTAGACGATTAGGTAGTGCATTGTTACTGCATCGCGTTTGCATTCCTGCCAAGTCGCTGTGTGTAACCGCTCTAAGGTGTAGTGGTCTGTCACGTTTAAACCGCTGAATCAAATTTAATAAATTTTGGTATAGAGACAGACGGGATCTTGGAGGAGAACATAGGCTACTTAAAAAGGTGACGAATATGTGAGACGTGAAAGTGTCACGAGTTTGTTCAAAAACATTTATGTAAACCCTGTCTACACCCGAACAGAATAAGGATACGTGGTTATAACAGCGTGTCTCAACATGGTCTCGACTGCAGACGTTAAATAAAGGAATCCATAACTGCATGGATTCAAATATGCAGCAATGTATATACCCTTCTCACTCAATTGTACTTGAACGGTGCGGAATAAAGTTACACAATTATAATGGCCTAGTTTGTAAGCTACATGAAGGA